ATTTGGTGCGAATTGCGTGTCGGTCCGCACTCTTAAAGGGTCCGCCTGTCTCTCCACTAAGTAAGTTCCACCTTCGTCGACCGAATCTTCCATTAAAGGGTTATTCTACGACTACAACATGTTGATTTCGGGGTTCAGTTATGGGCGGGGTGTTAAGTCCACTGGAGGCTGATCTTTGGTACTGAAGAGGATTGCACGGAAGATCGTGCGTGCCTAGACGGAAACTTTGGTGATGAGAGTTAGAGTTAGGTGAGGGAGGGAAAGGGAAGTCACGCCAATGATGTCAGTTTAATAACGTCATTCCTATAATACATTTACCGCCTTCAGAAGACTGGTAACTAATATCGCCGTCTCCAGCATCCATGCACTATTTCGCTAGCTTGGCAAGTTCATTCCTCCGATCGTGAACTGTGAACGCGCACATCCACGATGGGAACAGATAGACCAATTTCCGGCGGGTAGGTTGGAGCTGTTCCTTGAAGCCAAATGCTGCAATCTACCGGCTTGAAAGTGGGCGCTATGGCCTTACTGACACCGCTTCAACCGCTTTCTTTTTGTCGTTCGCAACATGTGGCGGGTAATTTGGAGCTGTGGTCTGCTCTCTCTCCTCCATTGTGCTCTCTCGCCGATGCTCTCTCCTGTGCGCTTTGCCTTTTTGCCATAGTACGACCAAATTGGAGAGATGAAAAAGCTGTTAGTTTTGACGAATTTCGATGTTTCTTCCTTTTTTCTTCACTTTCGGTCTACTTCGCTACCCTGCTTCCATTTTTTGTGAAAGATGACAGTTTGATCACGGGTGTGCCATTAAGTCTTTTTTAATCGATGAAGCACCTTTGCCAAGAAGCACTGCCCACAGGATGTAAATGAGTTTTATGATCAGTTAATGGTTCAATATCCATACAATCCTGCTGTAACGTAACAATTTCGCAAGTGTAAAGCACATTGACAAGTAGCACCTTCGACCAGTAGACCATTTGATGATTTCTGCAGTACAGAAAGCGAAGAACAGCCAATGAAGTCACAACGACGAATAAATTAAAATCCAGGTACAGGCCCTGCATTTATCACATTCATTAGCGAACTGCCATACTTCGCTAGAAAGAGAACGGCCTTCAACTCCTTGACCACGCGATCGACCTGAGATGAAAAAACATACAATGCAAAAAAATCAAAATTATGAAAGCCTAGTCAACTCACATCTTCCTTGGTGGTTTCTCTTCCAAAACTGAAACGTATTGTTCGTTCGGCTAGTTCTTTCGGAATGCCACATGCCAGTAGAACAGGACTGCAATGAATCGTTTCTCAAGATGTTGAACAAGAAGTCGAATTAAAGGCAGAGTACGATATGTGTTGATCAAACGTGAAGATAAAAGGCGTAAGTGAAGAAGCGAGAGTAAACGGTTCACTGGTCGACGTCCACATGACAGTCCTAGCCTGAACCCAACCCTAATGTTCTCCCTGTCTTTTTGTGAGCTTCACTTTGTCAGAATAATTTCAGTGCTTTGTTGAAACCAGATTTCTGAATCATAAAGACCGCTTTCTCCTGTCAATCGTTTACTCTGATTACGTACACCACTGACCTGACGCTACCGGAATGGCATGCGGCTCCAGTGCTTGCATAGAAGGTTTTGCATCTGAACAAAATGAATTTACATTCATAAATTCGTGACTGCTTTACTGATACTACGGTTTTCCCTCTCAAGATCATGTAAACGAAAAAGCATCGATTCATATTGTAGTG